TATTGATAGTTATTGAAGGTGACCATCGTGAATAAATATAAAATCATAATTGCATGTTAGATTCTATTATTGATTATTTATAGATAAACATAATTGTGTCAGTTGCATAAGTCTAGTAGCTTTAAGATAATACTGGACATAACATGTTAATGTCTAGGTGGCATTGAATGTATTGAAGTTGAATAGATTTTAAAATATTCAAATATTCAACAATTCCTTATCAGTTAAATAGGTAGGTAATAACAAAGCAGTGACACACAATTTGTTTTAAAAATAGTGTAGAAATTAATTAATAATAGATATACATAATAATAAATCGTCAGACCTAGAAATAGTYCTAACAATTTTAATAAAAATAAAATTATTTAACTTATAACAAACAATAATGTGTATTGACTTACTAATGGTATTCGTATGGTATCACTGATTCATCAGAATTGAGTCTGTTTACAAAGAACTCAATTTTATTCTAAAACAAATGCATACCAAATATTTACATATAAATATAATGACAATATTATAAAAAAAGTTCTGTGTGCCTAAATAATACCTAATCAATTTTAAAATATGAATAAAAAACAACTTTTTTTTCTTATACCTAGGAGATATTTATGTATTAAAAACATAATATATTTAAAATATACAAGATATTAAAATATCATAAATAAGTTAAATCAATTTGGAATATGTCTAAACATGAAATTAAAATATTTTCAGAACAACTCTAAAGTAGCTTCCAAGAAAATTAATTTTTTTAATTATTAGAAGCACATTATACATTCGGCATATTWACTCGCTGCGCTCACTCAAATGAAATCAAAAACATCCCTTGACTTATTTCGTAAAACCACCTTGGGTAAGTCATGAAAATAAAAAAAATTATTTAAAGCACAYAAACACYTAGAAAAGATTATGATGATTATGTCGAAGGAATAAAAATATAATATGTTAGTGAATGGCATTTCACACATGATAATATATAAAGTCGCATAGTTTGATATTACTTAAATCATTCTACTCAATTATTTACTGTTAAAATTGAAAATGTTGGCTCAAGAATAATATAAACAGTATGTGAATAAGGTAATAGTATCTTAAAGAAGATAGGAGATTAAAATAGATTGTATTTATACTGATCACAATGGTACAGTATACAAGTCCTCTTGAGTGGTTGCTGTTAAAACAGTACATAACCAAATACCTATACTGGTCGACCAGGTACTCAGTACAGATTAATAGAAAAAATGTTGTCTTGTTACATTTGTTAAACACTATAACAGCTCGGGGAGTGGGGGCTTAACATGCATTTTACTAATGCTGAAATTTGAATCATGTCCATTTTTCATTTAAGTCTCGGGTAGGTAAATCTATCTCAACAAACTGGAAGTCTACTGATTTTCAGCTGAAAATAAATAGTTGAACAGAAACTAATTGGTAATTTAAGAGGGATGATAAATGGTAGTTTCTAATGTGTTAAATTTCGGTCGACCAAAATCCAAACCAATGGTTACGGGGAAAAATATTTACCGTGCATGATGGAGCCGATTCCTTGCAATAGTTCACGGGTGCCAAGCCAGGCAAGTAGAATGCCGAAACGTACGTGGAACAGAGTCCCAGGAACCATACGATCGACGCTGAATTCATTTCCAAACGGTTTACAACAAACGATTAGGACGAAGGCCCAGACAACTGCGAAAAAAGCAACAAGCCCAAGT